CTTATCAACTTTCAGGAGAAAGAGACAGGGAAAGGAATGGAGGAAAAAAAACCCTCTAAAAGTCTGATTGGAGGAAAATCCTCAGCCATCACATTACTTTATGCTGGGCATAAAGTTTTAAAAAAACACAATGAATGTTTAATTATTTACCTTTATTTACTTGGGTAATCTCATTGAGACACCAGGTCTAACTCTTGGGTTTTAAACCAACATACAATAATTTGGCTACAAATAGAAAGAAATTGCTGCACAATTCATGCAACGTTTAAACAATATAATTAGAGATACTAAAAAACAGAAATAACTTTTGTTGAAACCTTCTCCATAGTCTTCAAGTTTAAAGTCATTGGTGGAATTGATCTGGAAAGGCTAAAGTCTTGTTCCGAGTTGAAACAGGAGCATGTATGTGCAAAAAAGGCTAAAAGTTATAGAAGACAGGAATCAAATAAACACTTTGTTTAGGTGGCAAATAGGAAAAATAATAAGATCGATACAAAATGACCTTTATTTTAAGATGCCCTCCTTAATGCCAGCCAGGCTTTATTCTCTTCAGTTCTTCTCAGAAACTCTTCATGTCTTTTAAAATTCCTCTCATTCTGTGAATTATTCAACTGCTTCTTCCAGCTGTGTGTTTCAGACAACGGTCAGTGTTAGCTGGTTTTCTGTTTAGTAAACTGTGTTTCCTGCTTTTGGGTTTGTCTAAAAAAGTCAAACGTTGGCAAAACAAGCCTTTTCTCTGTGCTGTTGTTCCTCGGCTCACCATATGAAGCCTTGTACAGGACAAAGAAGCGAGTGTGTTTCTCTGCCAGGGCAGCCCGGGCGGAGAAACACAGATACAGACTGAGATACTGAAGGGAGGAAGAAGGTCAAGGCCAGCCAGTTTGCTCATACAGACAGAATCACAGTCAAATAAATTGGCTTTAAGATAATAGGACTTCATACAAAAGATACWGTTAAAGTTCCTGATAAAACATCATATCCTAATTTGTTAACAGTTATTTTTTTCAATCCAAGTGAACTAAAATGGGCTAAATACGATTGGAGAATCATATCTTTTGAAACATTTGCAGCTAAGCACATTAACTAATCTTGTGTACTTGAGCCAACCCTTGTTGACATTGAACAGATTGGTGTATTTCTCTATTTATTTGTGCAAAGCAAAGTAATAACACTTTATTTATCAAGCGCTGCAGAGGAATACTTTCAAAATCTGAGCCAGGCGTGATAAATTTTAATCATGACTGATAAGAGTAAGGTTATGAACAAAACCAAATATTTATTTTGTTTGAAAGATTATTTAAAATGACAGTATTAACATTTCAAATAAAAATGCTTGATTAAAAAAAAGTTGACTGAAACAGGAACCTGCAGTGAAGTGCTTCATGTTTTTTCAGCTTTAATTGGACCAGACAGAACTCATCACACACCACACAGTGTTCAGGGACACACTCCTGCAATATAAATGTTAAATTGTATTAATTWTATGTTAATTACATTTTTTTACTATAAATTGATTTTTTTAATGTCATGACTGTCGATGCTCGAGTGGCAATTTTCTGTTATAAATCTTAAAATTCCCAAAGAAATATATTATTTTTTTAAATTATATACTACCTGAAGAAACCTAACTCATAAAAACATCATCAAATTTATTGCAGTGTTAATTGTCAACCACAATTTTAAGTGATTTAACCCTCGCTGCAAGTCGTTCACAAGACTTCAGTATAAACGGGACACATAAGAAGTGGTTTAATGTGAGCCACTGCTYCTCTCCATCATTTCCCTCAACATATCCTCTCCTGCTTCACCCTTCACCCCTGTCCAATCCCTGACTGTGAATACCCTAATGACATAAACAGAGTCGTAATCACATTAACAGCAGTTACGGCCGAGGCGCTCTTAAGAGGCACTGTACTGACAACCCTCCCTCTTCCCAAAGCACTCACTCCAACACCTATAAACACTTATGAATATTGGCAAAGACCTGCTATTAGCATAATCACTTTTCAGGTGTTTGTGAGTGCTCTCTCAAGCCGCAGCGCCTGCTAACTTTAGGAAATGGCCTTGACATGCTGTGTCCCTTGTGTCTTCTGCTCTTCTGCCTTCTTCCTTTCCCTTCCTCTCCTTTTGGAAGACCTGTGTGCTAATCCTGTTAGCTCGTTCCTCCATTAGCTTAATGACCAATATCAGTGAAAGCTACAGTACGTGGTCACGCCGGGACGGCCTGAGCCCASTATCAGACTTTGTCAAGGACAAAACGAAACAGAAAAAGATGGAGGTCAAGCCAAGTTTGCAAACTTTTAAATGTACGACCCAAAAGTTTAGTGTGCATACGTCACCACAAGCAGAGTTGTAAAGTAACTAAATACAAATACTTTGTTACTGTACTTATGTAGAAATTTTGGTTATCTGTACTTTACTTGAGTAATTATTTTTCAGCCTACTTTTTACTTTTACTCARTACATTTTTGCACAATTATCTGTACTTTCCACATTTTTTAAAAAGGTAAGAAGTAGAAAGTCATTACTCCTATTTTATTCTGAGTTGTTATTACTTAAAAACACTATCCTAATAAATTGTGTCTCTTGGGTAGAGTGATTTCAATTGTGGTTGGATGAGAAGTATAAATATATACCATTTTGATACTATATTAGCTTGTACACAACCCATCACAGCTGCACACCATTAGAAAAAATATTTTTTGGAGAAGTCACCTCCCAATAAATGTCATTTTGGAAAATCTAACTGCTCACTTTTACTCAGTACTTTTACTTTTAATACTTAAGTAGATTTTGTGTCAGAAAAATACTTTTGATACTTAAGTACAAAAATATCAGATACTTTAAGACTTACTCAAGCAATATTTTTGGGGAAGACTTAACTTTTACCAAAGTATTTTTATGATAAGATACTTGTACTTTTACTCAAGTATCACTTTGAGGTAGCTACTTTATACAACACTGACCACAAGGGTCATCTATTGGTTGTTTTTGTGTTTTTAATTGTGTTTTAGTGGACTGAATAAGTTGAATGTTGTAGCTACTGGATTGGTAAAACAGGTTTGCATATAGAAAACTCAGTTTGATCCAAATGGACACCTCAGTCACCTGAACTATGCTTTGTAGGTTCAGGATGGAGGTGTGCGGTTACTCTAACTGCTGTTTAATAGCCATCATTTTCTTTCTTCTCTTGTGCTGGTTGGCCTAAGGCTTTTTTTTACGTAAACCCTGGATCATATTCTCTGCCTGATGCTGACACCCCACTCACCACCCCTCGCTTTGTGTTGCAGTGCACCGAGATATCTCTGAAAGACCTGGTTAACCCATTTTTCTTTACATTTCTCTTTTTCTAATTATTGTTCTTTCACTTCCTTCCCTATGCTTTCTTTCAGTTCTCCTCCACACTTTTGTCCTCCCTCCTCTAAAGTCCCCTCTTTCAGCCCCTGCCATGAAATGGCAGCRAAGGGCTTGTCAGTGTGGTTTCTCCTCTCTGCTGATCCTATTTCAAAGGGACCTGGAGATCCAGCATTAGCCTCAGCTCTGCTGCTCTCCAGCCCTAACGCTCCCCAGACTTTAAGTTGAAGGAGAGAAACAGAATGAGAGAATAAGAGCACTTTTTTAAAAATCCATTWGTGGACATATTCGTTTGTAAGATCATCCTGCCTCCCTTGCACAGTTCTGTGCTTTTCTGTACATAAAAAACAAAACATCAAACGCCTCGTCAAAATGTCTTTTATCCCTTTGAATAACTTTTCTTCCACTCCTTTGAGGACAGCTATTAAGGACAATAGCGGGCTTATTTAGATATCTTATGTGCCATTGTTGTGAGTCTTGGCATGTGTTGTTCTGACTTTCTGATGGGAATAACAACTATTATCATTTCTTGTGGCATGCGCACAGTTTGTCAAATGTTCATCGATGAACAAGTGATTGCATAGCCGTTTCTGACACATGAAACAATGAATTTACCACAGCCTGTAAAGTGTTGTGGCTCTTGTGTCCTTCAGAAATGTTGTGGGTTGTCATTAGAAATGTCCCCTTCACGCCACACTTCTCTCCCTCCTTCGTTCGCTTCCCTTTTCCCTGCCTCTTTCCCTCACTTTCAGGATTCCTCAATGATTTTTTRCCCCTCTCTGACAGGCGTAACATTCTAGCCAACCCCCTTATCTTCCTCTCTCGTTCTTCACAATAACAGAGGGGAAAAAAGTATTTTCCTTTTCCTGCATATTGTGTGCGTGCACATTAGGCTGGTGTGATGGAAGTGTGTATCGGCTACAAATCAAAGAAAGGTGTACAGGAAAGCCCAGGTTATTGCAACCATTTTATGAGTTATGTGAGGCTCTCTGCTTAAAGCCGTAAAAACACACACATAATCAGGAKGCGTACGTAGAGCCAAAGCTAATGTAACAGGCACATTTTATTTGTGCTTATAAGAGAGGGAGAGCAAAAACGCATATGGGCAAATGGCTTTTTTATGATGGAAAAATTCCATAGTGGGTCAAAGCCCATTGCAGGTGGCAGCAATTAACTGTAATTTTTGCAGATTGTAATGATCCATAATTTACCATTATACCCCCTTCCAACTCTTTTCAGTCAAGAGAAAAAGGTTAGCATGGTGGTTTGATTAGGTGCACATTTTATGCTGTGTTCTGTTCTTTAAGTGAGAGTCTTCAGAGGGGGTCATTGTGGCTGTGGACACATGAGATAGAAAGCCAAACCACAAAATATCAAACTCTTTTTTTTCTATTGCTCGTCCACAACATCCCTCTTTATTCTCAGCAGCAGTCCTCTTTTTCTGCCCCTTCTTTTCCCCTTTGTCTCTGAGCCACAGAAAGCTTAAAACATGCAAGAGTGTCCGTTCACCATCTTAGGGCTCTCTCTCATATTCTCAATCATGCACGCTTTGCCTATCTCCTCTTCTCCCGMTTTCCTTGTTCTTCCCCTCTTGCGTACTATGGCCATGGATTTTGGGTTCAGTGTCTGCAAATGACTTTAGAAAAATGCCCTTCAGTGAGAGAGAAAAAAAGGAGAAGAAAGGATAAGAAAAGCAAAAGATGAAAGAGGGAGCACATTTGCAAGTGGTGGATGTGTCTTATTTTGCATAGCTCTCACTTCTGTTTTCCCCTTCTCTTTTTCTATTCACCTGAGAGGATTTAAATAAATCCATAAAGCATGAAATATCAGAAATAGAAAAGTAATGCATGAAGTGCATTTTCAAAGGAGTCTCCCCACCCACACACAAACACGCATACAAATTTTCAATCTGGGTTTTTTTTTTAACTGTGAATATGCTTTTTAATGATAAAAACTGGTACAATTTATTAACATGTGACCCCTTATTTGTATTCAGTGTTATTATGCAGCATTCGATACATGTTCTACTTTAGCTTCGCTAATTCTGTAAACAAGATATTGGAGGGGAGATGAGTGTGTTTAACAAGATCAGGTGCACATTGTCAGGCAAATCTCAGGTCAGTGTACAAGTGCAATTGAAAGTCAATTACTGTTTGAATTATTTCTAAGCTTTTTCATCTGTAAAAATTGCGTATTTGCTGCTGAGATATTCATCGCTATTGGATTCTTTAATAAATTCATATTTTTATTTAAAATAATTTATGGTTATTGGATTTTATAATACCATTCCAAAGGATTTTTACGGTGCACTTATTCGATTAGGAAAAATATACAAGTAATAAATAATAAATTACAGTAAAGGAATAAAATAAAAATATTTTAACTTTATACTTTTTGTGTTAAAAAATAAAACACTTTCTGTTTGTGTCATTTTAATAAACTTGCGTTAGAATATGAATCTGTTTATCATCTTGCTTTGTGTTCATATTTACTCTGCACGTGTTTAAATGAGGTTTTTCTCTGTGTTTTTCTTTTGTCAGATAAAGATGAGCCCAGCAGCTACACCTGCACCACGTGCAAACAGCCCTTCACCAGTGCCTGGTTCCTGCTTCAGCATGCTCAGAACACCCACGGTTTCCGCATCTATCTTGAGAGTGAACCTGGCAGCCCTCTGACCCCCCGTGTGGCTGCAGCTCCTGGGATGGGGGGTGACTGTGCCTCCTCTCAGCCTCCCCTGCACGCCGTCCACTTGGCTGAAGGCAGCCCCTACAGCCTCCTGAGGATGCCTGGTTCTGGGTCTGGTCGGGATTCGGCGTCTACGCCTCGTGAGGGCCGTTACCCCCGAACGCCCCCACTGTTCAGCCCACCACCACGTCACCACCTCAGCCCRGATGACCTTGCCTTGGCAACCCACCACCCTAGCGCCTTTGACAGAGTGATGAGGCTAAACTCAGTGCCATTAGAAGCCCCTCAGAGCATGGACTTTTCTAGACGTCTCCGTGAGCTGGCCGGCAATGCCACTGGAGGTTCTCCACCTCTTTCCCCTAACAGACCCAACCCTATGCAACGGCTGCTGCAACCATTCCAGCCAGGTTCCAAACCCCCATTCACAGCCACGCCTCCCCTCTCCACCTCTCAGTCCCCTTCTGGCTCCCGCTCTACCCCTAATCTTGCATCCAATTCAGTCCAGCCAGGCACCCCTCTCAAGGCAAAGTCTTGTGAGTTCTGCGGAAAGACCTTCAAGTTTCAYAGTAACCTTATTGTGCACCGGCGAAGCCACACAGGGGAAAAGCCATTCAAGTGTCACCTTTGTAACCACGCCTGCACGCAAGCGAGCAAACTAAAACGCCACATGAAGACACACTGTCAGAACAAGTCCTCTGCCATCAACACCAAGTCAGACGATGGCCTCTCGACGGCGAGCTCTCCTGAACCTGGTACCAGCGAGGTGATGGGCAGTGCCACAGATGCTCTCAAGTCAGTGGTGGCCAAGTTCAAGAGTGAGAACAATGGTCTGGGGCCTGAAAACGAGGATGAAGAGGAAGATGAGGATGAGGAAGAAGAGGAGGAAGAGGATGAAGAGGAGGAGGAGGAGGACGAGGAYGAAGGYGAAGAGGAYGAAGTTGAAAYTAAGCCTGGAGTTGAAGAAGAGGGAAGGAATGACTATCGTTTCAGCCTGAGGCTCGAAGGAGCCCGTCATCACCAGAACAGTGAGGCTCTACATCCACATCGCCGYAGCTTGTCCCGGGAGCCCGCTGATGAAGACGCAATTGTAAAGATGGATCATATGGATGATGGCACCACTACTACCATCAATGGCCTGGGACCTCTAACTAATGACAGCCTGACCAGGAAGCTGCTGTGTGGTGGTATTAGTCCCGGCCCCATCAGCCCCTTATCCAAACGGATCAAGGTGGAAAAAGACCTCGACCCACCCACGCCTACTATCCCAAACACCGAGAACGTTTATTCTCAGTGGTTAGCTGGCTACGCCGCCTCTCGGCAACTCAAAGACCCCTTCATCAGCTTCACAGGTGGGGACTCTAGACAATCACCCTTCACCTCCTCATCGGAGCACTCATCAGAAAACGGCAGCTTGCGCTTCTCCACTCCACCCGGTGAGCTAGACGGTGAACGGGCTGCCTCAGGACGCAGCGGCACGGGCAGCGGGGCCAGCACTCCCCACGGCGGCAGCGGGAACGGCAGACCYAGCTCCAAGGACGGCCGCCGCAGCGACACCTGTGAATTTTGCGGCAAAGTGTTCAAGAACTGCAGTAACTTGACTGTGCACCGACGCAGTCACACGGGAGAACGGCCATACAAATGCGAACTGTGCAGCTACGCGTGTGCCCAGAGCTCAAAACTCACCCGCCACATGAAGACCCATGGACAGATGGGCAAGGACGTGTACAAATGTGAAATTTGCCACATGCCTTTCAGTGTGTACAGCACTCTAGAGAAACACATGAAGAAATGGCACAGTGACCGCCCTCTGGCTAATGACATTAAAACTGAATAGGCAAAGAGCCGTTCTCTTTCAGCTCCCCCGGCTAAAGTGCAACCCTTGCTAACTGGCCAACGAGCATGGGGAAAGACAACAGGGTTAGACACCAGAACGCAGTGCAGCCCTGCTTTCATCCTCTTTTGGAGAAAGCTTGATGCATGATCCACGATTGGGGCAATACTATTGCATCAGAACTTTTTGAGCCTTTCTATTGTGCAATAATTTACACATTTTGTATTTTTTGTAACTGGACAGCATGCTTGGTGTGTTTTGGCTACTTAGAGAGAAAAAAATGTCCTTGGCTAGTGGGTTTGGTTGTACATGTGTCGCTGTTGATACTTTCAATTTTGTCAACATAAAAAAAGACTAGTTTAACCCAAGCTGCATACAGTACATACTGTTTTACATATCATGTGCAGTTTTGTGTTCAAACACAGAAGACGGTGTCATATTTTCAAAACATCAAGACAAGCAGGGTCAAACATAAAACCGATCTTTGTGAAAGAATTTCCATGCAACATCGAGAAAAGATTTATATCTATATGTATACTGTATATAAAATTGGGCTGCCTATAAAATTTTAGGCACGAACGCCATTAAATATTTCTTTTTCGAACATCATTGAAATTAATAACGTGGTGTGAAARGACAACAAAGAGTGCCTTGGATAGTTTACTTGCATTAGTTAATCCTCCTTTTTGCTATAAGCTCGGAGTTTCAGCTATAAATGAATACATTTTTGTGCACATGTGGAAGAGGCAGGTCCTTGCATCAAGCACCTGCTTGACCCTGTAAGACTTAATAGAATAAGGGGAACCAGCTGAAACAAACAAACAAAAAAAAAAACAATGTGTATTTCTGGTAAAACATTAATCTGGCTGACTCATGTATATTGACGTTTTCATGATTACAGTTTTGTTTACCGGCATGTTACATGCCCAAATGGGGTCGGACTTCGAGGTGTAGGTGTTACTGTTTGTTTTCGGTACAACTGAAAGGGTACTCTGACAAGCTGTTTTAACAAACATAAAGCTCTTAATTTTTCGAACTGTTTATTTTCTTTTGAAATTAAAAGTGCAAGCATTATTTTGCAGGCAGCACCGAATCATTAAATTCTTCTGTGTTAGCCAGGCAGGCAGTAATTCCAGCAGTCACTTGAAGACAAAGTAAAATTTTGTTTTTGCAAYTCAGGTTTGGGTTTCGGCGTGTTGAGCATTAGGGAGGGTGAGGGTCATGGTAGTGAGTGGGCCGAGTAGCTGTCTTAACAATTCAAAAGTTCTTAGAGCGATAATTCTTTTTACCTCAATATGTTTTTGAATTTGGAACATATTTTATTAACTCGAGGTGGGAATGATCTAAATCCAATTATAGAATAAACAGTTTCTAAATTCTGCAAATTACTCATTACAGGTTTTATGAATAAAAATGTTTTTTTTTCTTACTCTAGAATTTGTTCTTTTATTTTTCTATCTCCACCCCCCATCACTGATAATGATATAGCACTTGTCACTCTGCCTTGGATCCTGTATCTGTCTCTGTAATCGGAGGTACAGTTGGTTGAGTATAAAATGATGACCAGATTTTAGATCTGGCACTACCTACATGCACTGTTCAATTTTCCCAGTTTACAGTTGGGCGCTCAAGGGAAAACTTGCTCTTATGCTGACAGATAAGCTTGGTGTCATTGCTTTGCATTAAAAAAAAGTGTTGATTTAGAAACTTTTTGCCAGCCATGTTTCCTTCAATGAGCTAAAAATGAGTTTGGCTCTTGGAGGTGGTGTTGCAGGAATCGCCATAGAAACGTCCTGTTTCACACCCACTTTAGAACTACACAATTAAATTCTACAAATTTGAAATAAAATAAATAAAATGTCTTTTTCTTAAGTAACACCAATATCTTTAGGGGAGAACCTTATTTAATTTTTTTATTGTTTATTGATGTTTCTCTTCTTTGTTGTGGTGACATCCAGGACTTGATCACTATATAATGAACTGTACATGTCTCTCATCTTTTTGCCTTTACTATACAAAAATATTCAGGTTGAACAAAAATTTGCATTGAGGAGAGATTTATGATATATAAATATAGAGAGAGAACTTAAAACACATAGGAAAATGCACACTCATGTACGTTCCTATGTTCAAAACACATTTATGGTCTACTTTTTCCTGTATTTAGAATGGTATTTGAAATTAATGTTCACATAGTGTAGGCACTTATAGTATTTATGTTGGAGCCTGTATTTTTAACTGTTTTGCCTGTACTCTTTAAAGGTCTCAATGTACTCTTTTTCTGTAGTGAAAAAAAAATCCCAACATGCTGCCACCGTATATTTTTCTTAATTTGGCAGGATAATATAGTGTGAATAATTTGTATGCTTGAAAAAAAAAAGTACATTTTTTAATAAGAAGCTGTGGTGTTCCCCAAGAGTGAGAGGTCATATGATGGCCTTTTTCAGGCAGTCCCGCTGGAGTGGCCACAGTGAGGTAAAACAGGTGGTTGTACATATCTTTTTAGTTTGTTCATATATTTTTTTTCTCTCCTGCCATTTTATATGCAGTAATACAAGCTATTGTTGGGTTTCCTTGGTAGCCAACTTTTTATTGTTCTTGATCATGTACCACRTGATAACATTCCAGCTGTTTTTTTATTTTTTTATTTTTGAAAAAGAGACATTTTGTCATATGCAATCAGCATCAACGAGAGAGGTTATTATTATTTTTTTCCATTGACAAAATCAACCATGGTGCTTTATTGTTTGAATGGTACAGCTCATATGCAAGGCATATTCTAAACAGAACAGAAATAATGAAAAGACATTTTTGGTACATGTTGCAGTTGGTATTGAGGTACAGTTAAGTTTCCAGCCTAATTTCATCACGTGTTGTTTTTACTTTCAAACTATTTGCTCTGAACTGAACTTGAAGTTGACCTTTTGGCAGTGGTCAACATTATTTATTATGACTACACACACACACACACACACACACACACACACACACACACACACACACACACA